CAGAAACACACACTGTCTTTCAGATTGCAGCTGTTCTCCTCACCTTCAGTGCTGAAAAGCAGTGCGGGAACGAAGCATGAGAAAGGAAATGGAAATCCAGGAGCCCAGACTTGAGACTCGTTACTTGCTCAGTATGGAGAGGGTTAGTTCCCAAAGCCTGCTGTTCACTGTGCTAATTTTAATACAAATCAGTAACATTTTAGATGTATCCCAAGATTTTGAACTTGACAAGGAAAAAATAACCAGACCAGTGGAGTTCCGAGATTTTTCAGACCTCCTGTCATTTTACACTCAAGTCTTGCAATGTGTTCATTGCACAGGATTAGGAAATAGTTGCAGAGAGAAGTAACTTCCCTGTAAGAAGACCTTTTGGCAGTCTAGCTTCTGCAGCTATAACTCTGAGATGATGTAGGTGACTGGCTGTTCTGGGTTGAGTGAGTGGTGGAGTTTTTTGGTGGCAGGGGAGGGGGCTATCGGGGCGGCCCCCTGTGAGAAGCTTCTCGAAGCTCCCCCAGCTCCACATCAGCTCCACTTCTGTTTGGGAAATTGAGCCAATCGGCTGCGCCTCTGCGATAACGTATTTAAGAAGGGACGTGGTGATGTGCAGTGGGACTGGGGAGGAGGAGTTGCTGCAGCTGCATGAACACCAAGGTCAGTGGAGGAACGGAGGAAGAAAGGAGGGGGGAAGTGTGCCGGAGCAGAGACCCCCCTGTATCCTGTGGTGAGACGGCAGGGCGGCCCCCCCTGCCACCCATGGAGATCTACGGTGGAGCAGACATTGATTTATGGCCTGTTGCTCCTGCTCAGCTGATCAAGGTTCTGTGCCCAAAGAAGGCCGGGGCCTCGTGGGAAAAGGCAGCCCCACTGCTGTAATTCAGTGCTGGGAGGATTGCAGCATGGGGGGGTGTCCCACGCCGGAGCAGCTCGGGAAGGGCTGCAGCCGTGGGAGGGAATCCAGTCAGAGGAAGTTAGTGACCCATGACGGAGCAGTGTGGGGAACGCTGCGGCCCATGGGAGGAATTCATGTCGGAGAAAGTTTGTGGAGGACTGTCTCCTGTGAGAGGGGGACCACGATGGAGCAGGAGGAACAAGTTCCAGACACTCCCCTCACTGAAGAGGAAGAAAGTGGCAGCGCTGACTGCACCCCCCATTCCCTGCCCCTGCGCCACTGGGGGAGGAGGTAGAGATATTGGGAGCAGAGCTGAGCCCGGGAAGAAGGGAGGGGTGGGGGGAAGGTGTTCTCAAGATGTGGCAATGCTTCTCACTGTCCTACTCTGTTATGTGTTGTTAGTGTCTGTAATAAATGTATGTTCTTTTTTTTCTTCCCCTAACAAGTCTGCCTTTTGCTCGTGACCATAAAGGGGGATTTTTCCCCATCCCAGTCCTGTCTTGAACCCCAAGCCTGGCTCTCTGTCCCTTCTCATTGCCGGAGGGGAAGGGAGAGAGAGCTGCTGCATTGTGGTTGGCTGCCAATCAGGCCTAAACCACAACACTGGCCTGTAAAAGCAGGAATGGCAGCACAGGCTCAGAAGCATGGCTTTTAACTCAGCCCCTTCTGCCAGCAGTACACTGCTTGACATAGGTCACTGCTAATAAGTGTGTGTTAGCATACCTTGACAGAGCTAAGGTTCAAAACTTAACTGTCCTTTGATTCCTTATTTCTCAAGTCTGTCTATCCTGTTTATACTAGGGTTGGGTATCAGCTTGTAACTATCACAGATCAAGGTAGCATGAGTGTTTTGGGGTGCCTGGGTCAAGGTGTGAACATACTATAGGGCTTAATGTTCCCACCAAAGCCTTAGGGTTTTCCACTATTAGTCAGCTACTTTCACAAACCCTGCTGGCACTCATCATAGACCTGTAATTCACAGCTTCATTGTATATACTGCTTAGCATTTTAGGATTTTCTTTAATACAGGAGACTGTTACTGCACTGTTTTGTTTTGGTTTGTTTTTTTAAAAAAGTTAATCCATGTGATGCAAATAACTGGTCGAATAACTAATGAACCTGTCCGCATTGTTTAGTTACTCTAATCAATTCTGCAGCAGGTGTGTGTGAAAACTGCACAGGTACATACAAAACCTGTCCAACCTGAATGCCCTGTCTAAGGAAATTTTTCAAGCATGCCATGAAAGCATCTACTGCTGCAGTTAAAAATACAGTAGACTTACACTGATGATATTTGTCATCCCATGAGCAAAGAGACATGTTCAGCCAGCCTTACTGTTGTACCAGCAATCAGCTCAGTGAAATTAAGGGGTTGCATAGAGAATTGGTGAGAATACATAGGAAGTTTTGGAGCAGTGTCATTGAGGACTGGCGTCAGTTATAAATATGGGGAGGTTAGCAGCAGGTGCTGACTGCTTTGACAGCAGAAAGTAGCCTTTTCTAAAGCTCAACAAGGTGATGTACAGGAAGGATTGATGCTCAGTGGGTCAGAGTGCTTCACCACTCATAGACGAAAAGGAAATTCTGAAGACGGCAGTAGAAGAAAGCTATGAATTCCCAACTTCCAAGTTCCAGAACATATTTAAAATTTATGTTTCCCTTAATCAAAGGGTCTTTCCTCCCTGTAGACTTGTAAGAACTGCTTCCTGATGGAGCATCTATGAAATCAGTAGTCAGCCGTTAAAAAGGGAAGTGGCCTTCTGCGTCCAACACTGTCCAAGGGCTCCGAGGACCTAAGTTGACTCCCTGTATTTGGAAGGCATATTGTACAGCTCAACTGAGCAGACAAAAAATATCTGATCCAGTTCCAATGAATTTCCTGTGCAGCTATTACTCTTTCAAAATATTTTGAACAGTCCTGGTAAAGCGATGGTTCTGTACCCATTAAAAATGTTGAGTCTTTTGGCTGCATTGCTTGAGTTTGGTACAAGGAGTTCCAAATCCTGTCTCAGGGACCAAGATTTAAATTTCTCTTTACATTTAGCTTCGCAAATATTTCCTTTGAATATTTCCTTCAAAATATTGGAAGCCTCCTGAACAGATGTGGTAAACAGCATGGTTATTGCCCTGCTTCAAAGATACGGTTGTGCGGAAGGGTCAAGGAAAACGCCTGTTGTCATGCAGAAATCATAGAATAGCTTGGGTTGGAAGGGACCTTAAAGATCATCTAGCTCCACCTGTCCCTGCCATGGGCAGGGACACCTTCTACTAGGTCAGGTTGCTCAAAGCCCTATCCATCAGCATCACCTCTGAAGAACACGTACATAGAACTGCACGCTTAGTTCCTCCTCAGCAAGAGCACTTTGTCTTCTCTGCCTGCTCTACCTCATTCTTTTTAGGATATGAAATCTGTATATGTGTGCACTTGTGTATGTATATATGTGAACTGAAACATACTGAGCCTCAGATATTCTTTTGCCAGGTACTACCACCATTATCACTGCTCCCCTTTGTGCTTCTGGAATGCTTTGCAAGGCCACAATGCGAATGGGCTCAGTACCTACCTACAGCTGCATTAGCAGAAGTGAGAGGACCAGTCTGGGTACAGGGGGAAGCAGGAACTCCTGAAGTGGCCAAAGGCCCTTGTCAAACCATTACAAGCACCTTCCCATAAAAAGCAAGCAGCAGCAGGAAGGTGCTTGTTACATCAGCCCTCTGTGGAGGGAATAAGAAGGGCCAGAACAGGAACATCTGATGATTCTTCATGGTGGCTGTCACTCTCTTTCTTCGGTTAGAAGCATCTGGCAACACAAGAGAGGAATTCATCTAATTCCCTCGTGTTCTGCTTCAGCCCTTTCTTTTCAAGCCTGTACTGCCTTGACAGCAACTGAGCCATTGCTCAAGAGGAAAATGGCATGCTAATCAATGTTAGCAGCATAAAATGTAAGTCTGTATGCAAACCGTGGATCCTGCCCCACTTTCAAGACAAATATAGGACCACTGTGTGAAGCATCTTACGTTCCTGGCTGTCAGACTGCAATGGAATAATAAGATTCACAATCCTGTAATTAACTTCAGAACTTGAAGAGCAACACACGTGATACACTAGGGGTTTTCAGTTCCCAAATAGGCAACTCTAGCTGTGCTATGATTCAACATCCGTCATGTTTACTAATCTTAGTCTGACCCCTAGTGAGCTGTCACAGAATAATCAGATTTATCTAACAGATCCTGCACCTTCCTGACAGGCAACTACCACAAGAGTCATCATTTATCCACTTTTTTTTTTTTTTTTTTTCCCCTTAAAAACCGTGGTTACCTTTATCAGTAGCATAACGTAAGAAAAAGAAGAGTCAGCTCAGAAGTCATAAGGCTTTCTTCTGAAGGTGGGGGTGTGGAAGAGAACACATGACCTGGTATCAAATTCACTTGACTTACCTCCACACATAAGGTGTTTTTTGCCTCCTTCCCCTCCTCCTTTTTTTGTACAATCAGGAACTGCTTCCTCAGATTTCTGAAGAGATTTTTATCTCTGAAGGAGACGAAGTGGAAGTTGCATCTGGTTAGATAATAAGTTTAAATTAACAAACACAAAGACAAAAAAAGGGGGTAAGTTAAAGCAGTAAACACATTTTAAAGGACCTAAATAACTTGCACAATTTTTTAAGGCGTCAGAAGCTTCTAGGTTTTTGTCAACTGTAACTTCAGCATTTTGCTCATACTGGATATTTCTTGCTCAGTGTGTTTATGCCAAGTAGTTACAGGCCAAAATACAATCACTGTGCACTTGCCTTGGCAGCAACACAAGCACAGTAAAATTTTAATGGATTTCTTTCCCTGCATGAAGATCCATTTATCAAGCACACTGACGAATTAAAAAAAAGTAATTTGCCCAACCTCTGAAATGTACCCATGAGAGCTCGTGCTTCTTGTTTTTTTGTTTGTTTTTTTTTTTTTTTTTTTCTTTCTTTAAAGCAGCGCTCTTCTGTAGCCATAGCCAAGAGGACTGTCTCAGTAATAGTGCTGTCTGTGGTTGTGGTGTACTTTTGTCTCCCCCAGTTTGCACAGGATGTGATTTTGACACCTGTTCCCATCTTTCTGCTCCTTGCAGGCATTTTGAAGTTTGTGGAAATCACGGTTAACCTCCTGGTGCTGATTTGTGTGGGTGCTGCCCAAGCCTCTGTTGCAGGCTTCACGTCCCTCGGCGGCTTCGGCACGGGATCCTTTAGCCTGAATTCGGCCTACAGCCCCTTTGAGGGCACGGAGCTCCAGCAGGTGAGGGAGCTGGACATGCAGTTCACCCAGATGAGAGCCCCTTGCGTGTACGGCGGAGTAGCCTTCAGCTTAACAGCAGCAGCACTCACCCTCGTCTTCCTTGTCGTGGGGGCAAAACCCATCCAGCAGCTCAGGACGGGGCTGCTGGCAGGCGAATGTGCCTTCAACCTGCTGGCCGGCGTGGCGTACGTCGCAGCCGTCGGCCTCTACCTGCATTTTGTCAGCCAGGTGAACTCCACAGAAGTTTGCAGGAGGCGCGAGAGGCTGTACGCGCGCCGTGGTTACACCTCCATGAACTGCGTGGTCCAGGGCGGCGACGCGGCTGTCGGCCTTTTCGGTGTCGCTGCTGCCTGTTTGTATTTTGCCAGCTTCGTGGTCTGCATCCGCGCTCTCCGAACCGTGCGGGCCTTCCAGAGGCACGCGGCCAAGGCTCAGCACAGCCCCAAAAGCAGCGTTAGAGACCGAAGCGTCAGACACCACCGCGCCGTCCACGGGACCTCCGAAAGCTCCCGCAACGTCCGGGCTCTTGCCACGTTAGTGTGAAGTCAGCTCTGGGACTGTGTCAGAGCTCTGGAGCTTCACCAAGGGACAGACACTGGGTGTCACGTGCTGAACAGGCAACCAGTCCACAATGTATTGTCCTACAAGGCGCTGAGGTGTGTACTGAACCACCAAATGTAACACTACTGCTGTAGCATGGTGTAATAAAATTGATGTTGAGCGGCTGTTTTAACAGTGTTTTTTGCATCGGCCTCTCAAGCTCGACTCCTGCGTTTAAATGTGTTTGATTGGAATGTTTCGTCCTGCACAAAGCAAATCCAAACAGCAATGGGCTGTTAACAGGTTGCAACCGCAGTGCTGCCAAACTTGTGCTAACCATCCCTTCCTTTCCTCTCCCGTGACATCAGGATTTGAATACACAGCTAGGATGGGCAGCCATCGACAGATCCCCTGCTTCTCGATGCATCCTCTTGCCTTACTCCTCACCGCTCACAAAGCAAAGGACACTCAAGTGCTTTTCTGAACCACCACTGAAGCTACTCTTGAAACCTGTTTTGCTTGGGCTACTGAAGTGTTTTATCTTTTGAGTCACAGGGGTTGACACATGCTGATCATGTGCTCCCTGAGGAATGCTGCTGGAAGGAATGAGCTGAGATTTCAAAGGCAGCGTTTGGATCCTCTGGCTACGTTTTCCCCATCTCGCTGAGCACAGATCAGAACCTGAGAGGCAGTGCACTGGTCAGCTACCAGCTTAGGAAAGATACTGCTTGCTTCTGCAACCCCCTAAACAAGGTTTGGCTTTGCTGATCCACAGCCGGTGGTGGGCAGAGCCTGAGTCAGGAGCACGCTGGCTGCCCTGGGATTTTCCACGGGAATGCTGTAACAATGACAGAAAGTACATGAGTCCTTCCCAACATCTAAACACACAAAGGATGAGTGAACAGCAGTAATTGTATGCCCCCAGGGTTGAGAAAATAAATTTAAGAGAACATCTTTCAAGAGTTCTTTGTTTGAGGCAGGTAAGATAGATCACTGGTCTTCATAGATGAGGGAGTGGGCAAAAAAGGCTGCTCAAGATTTGTCAGCTTGAGAGGAGGGAAGAGGCAATTTTGATTCTGGATGTCCTGACTTTTTTCATTTTTTTCTGGCTCAGATTCATTGCCCAGATGAGACTCTTGAGCCATAGTAACGATTATTTATTGTATACTTCATACACACACACACACACACACACACACATAGATCTCAAAGGATTATGTCTGAGGTAATATAAACCAAATAAGAAAATGTTATGGTTCTGATTAGAAGTGATTACATCAGCCTTTACAATAAGCATTTGTCATTTATATAATACCTTAAACATCTCTAAACTTTGAACAAGCTTCATAGTGTTGTTATGCTTATGAAGAGACAGAAGTGAAAAGTTTTTTCCAAACTTGCCATGACTCATAGTAGCGGTAGATTTCTAGCTCTTTCCCCAGACCCAGACCTTCACTGATAGGCTGTAATCCCTGGAAAAATCTGTTAGAGGGGTGTCTGGCATGCAGCACATGCTGCAGCTAACCACTTGTGAGGCATTTGTGCCTGCACACTTGTTCCTACACTACCTTTACATCTTCCACATTTTGAACACAGGCTTAGTTATACGATGACACACTGTTATTAACTTATACAAACAACAAAAAGCAGCACCTTGAAGTGACACACTGGAAAGATTTGGAAAGGCTGCAGATAATATGTAAATCTTAACTCAGTCCTTAAATATGCATGCAATATGAATTTTAATCTCAGGGCTTCTTATTCTGCCCCATTCATTTTTTTATGTTTGCCTGCCATCACCATGCAATAGCAACAGTCCTCTGGGAGCATTGATTCTCTCTCTTTTTCCCTTGCATGTGTGGTAAAGGCCTCATTTATTGCAAGGTAATTCAATCTTTAGGAAAAGGTGCACAGAGTTTCCCTGTGGATTATTGCTGTAGCGCTCCTCCCTTGGACACGGGTTCCTCACAGTCAATCCATTTTGGGTCCCTTTCCTGTTGACAGGAGCAATTTTATGCATTTTACGGGGAGAGTCAAAGAGTAGCTGCTTGTTACAGGTGCTCAGTTGGAGACGCCTGGGACCCGCTCGCTGCCCTGAGCACCAGGTCAGTCCCAGTCACGTTCTCTCAGCTCCTCACCCAGCTGCCTCCCTGCACTCACCATCCCCTCATGTTTCTAACCTCCGCAGCCTCAAGTTTATTCCTTATATCTAATCTAAACTGACCCTCTTTTAGTTTAAAACCATTACCCCTTGTTCTGTCACTACAGGCTCTTGTAAAAAGTCTCTCTCCATATTTCTTATCAACTCTCTCTATATTGAAAGGCCACAATAAGGTCTCCCTGGAGCCTTTTCTTCTCCAGGTGGAACAACCCCAACTGTCTCAGCCTTTCCTCATAGGAGAGGTGTTCCATCCCTCCGATCATTTTTGTGGCCTCCTCTGGACCTGCTCTAACAGGTCCATGTCTGTCTGGTACCGGGGTCCCCAGACCTGGACACAGCACTCCAGGTGGGGTCTCACAAGAGTAGAATAAAGGGGGAAGAATCACCTCCCTCAACATGCTGGCCATGCTTCTTTCTCTGCAGCTCAGGATACAGTTGGCTTTCTGGGCTGTGAGCACACATTGCCAGTTCACATCCAGTTTTTCATCCACCAGTACCCCCAAATCCTTCTCCACAGGCTGCTCTCAATCCCTTCATCACCCAGTCTGTACTGATACTGGTGATTGCCCCAGGCCAGGTGCAGGACCTTGCTGGAACTTTGTGAGGCTCACATTAGCCCACTCCTCAAGCCTTGGCAGGTACCTCTGGACGGCATCCCTTCCCTTAAGCATGCCAACTGCACCACTCAGCTTGGTGTCATCCACAAACGTGCTGAGGTCCTGAAGCACTGCAAACAGAGTGACCACAACGAAAGCCGAGGTCTGGTGACTGCCAACTTCTTGACAGCTTTGTGCCACAAATTCGTTCCCTTCCCTGCCACCATGAAGAAAGATCACTAGGAAATACTTGCAAAGAGGAAATAGACATCCGTGCTGTTTCCTCCACTCACCTTCATGGAGGGAAATGAAGGAGAGGAGAGGCGAAAATCCCAGAAATACTCCTCAGAGGACTAGGGCAGGGAATAAGCAGCTTCCCTTTCCTTCAGGGTGAAGGGTGAGCCATATATCTTCAGAGCAATCCAAACCACCCTGGTTTCAGACTGTAGCAAGACCATGCTTGAAAGTCTTTACCATGGAAGCTGGAAAGGTGCAATGGAAGAGCAGATATTTTCTGGCACACACATATGACTAAGGCTGCAACAGGCTGTCACCCCCAGCTGCTGCTGCAGGTGCTCCCACCCTCGAGGGCAGATAAGCCTTCCCACCTTCTGCTGCAGACGGCTGTGCCCCACCGTCACCTCTGTGCAGTGGCTGCCAGTTAGCACGGGACAATAATCTGCTTTTGGACTGGTAAACAAAGGCAGGGCGAACGGCTCCTGTCAGCCCTACCATTTCTTTTAGCCTTTCCCTGCTGCCCACCCCGTGCAGCGCCTGCGTGCAGCCTTCAGGGTCAGCACTGAAAATAAACTCGCCTGTTTCTTTGAAGCAGCCCCTCGCAGCCCAGTTTCACCTCCAACCGAAGGGCTGCACGCAGTTGTCACCCTCACTCCCTCTTCCGTGAGAGGGATCCTCGGGGTGGATCCAGCTTGCCCACTGTGACCAGCATCAGCTTATCACCTCCTGTGAGGGAAACAGTGATGGCAAAGGTCGAATCTGTGCTTCCCTGAGAGGTTCTCTTGTGGGTAGCCAGTGTGGCCTCTCTCAGCCTTGGGGACCCCGCCACTGGTGCATTGGGAAGCCTTCTGGCATGCCAAGCCTATTCTGAACCTTCAAAAAGAGGAATAAAATCCACCCACCCCCCACCCCCCCCCCGGAGATGCTAGGGAATGGATGCAGGTTGCAGGGTGAACTGGAGCTTCCTGACAGGAGAAAAGCCCCACTGCAGATGATGGGTCACTGGTGCAAAGTGCTGGGGGGGAGTTGAGTAGTTCATTTATCTCAGAGTTACCTGCAAGACTCTCAGACAGCCCCTTTGGATTTAATCCATCAATTTGCACCTGTCTCCTTCAACCCAGGAACAAACAGCTTCAGTCAGTCTGAAAGCAAAACCTCTGGCTGAGCTCCCCAGCCATTAACTGTCCACAAAGGGAACCCCTCTCCACAGAAGAGCCTTGGAGAAAAAACAATCTCTCTCTGAAAAAACGTCTCTATGCCCTCATGCAGAGGGGGGAAACAAAGGGCATAAGGTATTTAGGATGACTAAATTAAAAAAAAAAAAAATCCCCCCCCCCGCCCCCAATCCTACATCCCACCACTGAGTAAACTGTCATGGAAATTTTGTTATGCTGGATTGTGTATCTTTAAGCACCCATTTTCCTGAATGTCTCCTTTATTCAAATAGCACTTCATAAAAATTGTTCAGTCTGGGGGAAATCTTGTTCAGAACAGAGTAAATCAACATCCAAGGACACAGGTGTCTCGTTTCAATGTAAAAGGCAAAATTGGGGTGGGAGGTGAGGCCGGAGAGGAGACAATATTTATTCCTCCGGATAGTCTTAACATAATCTTTACATTTACCAAATAATTCAGGTATCTGGAACTGTAAATCTGGCGCTGCTGGAAGATCTGCACGTGTTAGGGCATCGCCCTCCTGCTGCTGACCAGCTGTAAGGAAGAGGGACCTGTGTACCCATACACAGAAAGAAAATTTTCAGGTAAGCACAAACAACAAGTTTTCCTATTTTCTCAGTGAGTTTAACAAAACATTCCTAGAATGTATTAAATTTTATCACAAATTAAGCTTTTCCCATTAGTTTTTCAGAAGTGTTTGAGTGCATCTGATGTGGAGAAGAAACTAGGGGGACAAACCAGTTGTACAACAGCAGAAACTGAATTCAAGGCTTAGCATCAAGAAAAGCTGGGATCTCAGTTTACATGAGAAACTGCTTTAAGGTGATGAGAATACATACAGGGATTAGAATACCAAGGAACAGTCTAAATGGAAATTGTTCTTTCATAATCCATGTATTTTACTCCCAGTGCAGATTTATCTTCATTAAAGTTACTTTTTTTTGGTAGCTTTCCCACCACGATTTACATTCACCAGAAGTTAAGTAAATCTACAGATACACAACAGACC